CAGTATGTTGAACACAATCAAATTGAGAAAGGACAAATGCTGTATGGTCTCATTTAAACAAAATAACCAAATATTTTCGAGACTGTGGTGTTAGTCTAAAAGTTGGCTTTTTAAAGCCATTATAGGTAGCCGCCTCTCTTAACTGCAGACACATGATCTTGCAAATTATCAATAGCTGTGCTACTAAGAAGAGAAAGTTTCCCACACTGGGCAGCAAGACTTGTGGTGGTTAAGACTTGAGGGAGACTGGAGCGAGACCCTTGTTGGAAAGACCTTGGTGATGGTAGCTGAGAGATGTGGCACTGCTATGGAAAAACTGTGGCAAGGTGTAACCTGTGGATTCTTGCATTTGTGCTGGGCACAGTTAAAGGCTTTTGCTATTCTTGCCAGATGCTTGAAGGAGAAGCTGACTTACAACTACTCTGAGGCAAACCTTGTTGGATGAATTGGATTTGACTGCTGATGAAACCAGAGCCTGGACTAATTGAGGAATTGTGCTTTGGAATGTGGACTAAAACCTGGACTTGTTTTTGGTGATAATTCTTTGCCTCTCCCACTCTCCAATTTACTTCCCTAACAAACCCCATTCTAAGCCCCACAACTGAGTTTGTGAGTCAATAATGAATAATCGAACCACTTGCTGCTGCTCTAGAGGCATCATGGGGCTGGGCTATGGGCTATCTGCTTTCTGCTCTGGGGCAGTGAGGGGCTGCACTCTTCTTACTCCCTGTGGCCCTTTCAGAGAGATGTTCATGGGCCTGTGCCCTCATAACCCATTATCTCCTCTTTAGACAGAGACCAAGGTTTATTAACTGGGAAGGAGGAGAAGGGAGAGGAAGCTCAGGGGTTAGTATGTTTATGTTATTGATGGTGGGATAATTTGAAAAGAAAGCGGAACTTGACAAATGTCTATCTGTGAATTGAGCAGGTACACTGAGATGGCATAGGTGTTACTGCCTGTTTTTCACAGTCTCATTCACTCTCTGACTTCTAGCCAGAACCAGCAGACCCCTGGCAGGCAGGTGTTTGGAGGCTGTTAACTGCATGGGAGGAGATGGCCCATCTTTCTCCTGGAGGGTCTGAATTGTCAGCGAGGCTCTGCCTCTAAGTTAGCAGCACAACTCCCTACAGACTACACCCCCACAGCTCCCTTGCTCTATAATGCTGTGTGCTGTCAAGTCAGAACCAACCCATAGCTGACCCTCCAGTGCAGAAGCAATAAAGCACACAGAAGGAGCCTGCCCTTCTTTCTCCTGCGGAGCAGCTGGCGGATTCAAACCATGTACCTTTTAGCTGACAGCACAATTCCTTATCACTAAGCCACCAAAAAAAAAAAAAATTAAAAAAAAAAAATCCACTGGTCTTTCAAACAACATGCCTGCTTAGCGTACACTTCTTTCCCCGCAACTTCAATTCCCACAATTCTCAGGTTATCTATGGATAAAAATCCTGAAACAGAGGAGGAGTCATTTACCAAATCAATGGATACAACACAAGCTGTATGTAGGTTTTCTCTTTGAAGGTTTATAGTTATATTAAAAAACAAACAAAAAAACAAAATAAGAAAACAAAAGATACTTTTTGCATTTTACAGTCACCTCCCGGAATATTTAACATCTAACAGCTGCTCGGACCATTATACATTTTCTTTTAAGCATATTCTGGTACTAAAGTGGCTTGAACTCCTCGGGAACTGGGCTATTATTAAGTATTGAGATCTCACAGTCCCATGTTAGAGATGAAAATTTGAAAATACGCAATGAAAGAGCAAGGTTAAAAAGGAAGGCTGAATGGGGTTGGTATGGGAAGGAAAGCAAAAACAGTTTTTAAAAAAAGAATACAGGACCAAACCTGCCTATCATCATCATCTCACTGCCCATACGTCAGAACTGATTCATAACTGATCCTCCAGCAGGTCTTCAGGGGCTGTATAATAAAGGGGAGGAGGTTCCCCATCTGAGAAGCTGTTGGTAGACTGCAAATGCCACTCAGGCACCACCTTGGTATAAGCAGTTTAACTCCCACCCACAGTACAGTTTATCTTTAAAAAAAAAAAAATAAAATAAAATTAAACCCAAAAAAAATCACCCACCAACCTTCTATGTCTTAGAAAAGCAACTTGGTTCTGAACACAGGGTCTCTGTGAACTCAAATACATGCATTCTGATCAGCCTCTGGGCTTTTGCACTGGTCCCACCGAAGATTTAAAAAAGGAAAATGAGATTAGGTAGACAGATATCCATAAATATGACTATCCAAATGGATGAAAACCTCCTGGCTTTGGTATACCTACAGAAACCTACCTAGAAGTTGTTCAAAAGGAGGTGGGCCCAGGTGGAGGTGGCCCACCCTCGCTTAGAGTTGAAGAGCAGGGCACTGCCACACACAATGCTTGACACAAATGCCCCTAAAAGGAAAGGGCAGGAGAGAGAAAAGACCAACCAAGACCAAAAAACCAACTTTCTGAGCAGGATTGTCTGGGCCAACCTTCTCCAAAGTACAACTAGTAAAAAAAGTTTGGCAGTCAGAATTTACCTGGTGGGCCAGCCCTTTCTAGTAGTGAGTGACAAAGACCTTTACAGGAACAAGAATTGGCCACCTTACTCTACAGAACTACAGAACGGAAGCACCCCTTTTAGACAAATTCTCTCCATCCCCACGGTATCCCCATTTACTACGGAAAGGCCATCTTTGGCCGGGGTCACCCAGAGACCCAGAGCATGTGTGCTGTGCTTATTTCAAGAGGAAGAAATCTTGGGATTTGGAGCATCATCTACTATGCTGTGTCTCAGTCTACTTCTCATCTCCCAGGAGACTGAGATACTAAGAGTCTACAGAACCTGGAAAGCAGAAGCAGGGCCAGGTAGAGATCACATCTAATCACGGTCTTGAGGCCTTCACATGTCTCAGAAGAGAGATGGAGGGTCTACCTGGAAGTGTCGATCCCCTGGTCTTCAAACAGTGTCAGCACAAAACCCACAAGGACACCACCAGACATGGCAAGAAAAGGAAGTGATGGCTACTTTGATGCAGTCCTTCTCAGTGGTTACTGATAATACAGTGTTTGCCAATGAAAACAAGTTCTGGTATATATGATCAGAGGGAAGATGGTCATTAAAAACAATGCAAACCCCAAATATCCTTGATGGCAAACACAGTAAATTTAAATTCATTTTCACCATCACTATCTGATAACCAAATGCTACCTATTATGTAACTGTAGTGACAGATAATTGGAGGGAGAGGAAGCCTGGCCCTACAACAAAGGTGTAGAGAAGCCACAAAAAATGAAGCCCAGGGCGTAAACACTGTCACACGGGGGTTGGAGAACAGAGAAGAAACAGAATGTCTAGCAATTTTGGATAAATAGCATTATTTATCCTTTAAGAAAGATGCTAATACAGGGAGGAAGGGGGTAAAACAAAAAGATTCTAAAGTAAAAAACGTATGTGTGTAAATCTTTATTCAGTCAGTTAGGTTTGGTCTGCATTGAAGCCTTCAGAGAAGGGGAATGTGGGAAGGGTCTCCCCACCTACTGTGGGGTGTGTGCACCTGGGTCGATAGGAGACTCACCTGAGACCAAGGGAAGTACTTACAAGGATTCCTCCAGGTGTGTCAGGCCCAGGGACTGCCAGAGATGTTAACAAAACTGCTCTAACCCCAAATTCCTTAAAGATCTCCCAGCGAAAACTAGTGGTTTTTGTCATGTGTCCTCGAGTCAGATCTGACTCCTAGCTGAGCCTGCAGCAGGTTCTCAGAGGCTGTAAGTCACATGGGAGATGCCTGTCCATCTTTCTTCCAAGAAGGAGCTGGTGGATTTGAACTGACTGCCTTTGGACTGGCAGCACAAGTCCTGACCCACTTGGCCACCAGAGAAAAACTCATCACCCAGTGAGCTCTGCAGAGAGGAATGCAAGAGGAGGCGGCTGAATGTGAAGGCAGACCCTGCCGTTAACTAGAAAGAGTCTGAGATTAGTGGCTGCCAGCCATGCTGAGAAGCACTTCTCCGCAGCCTGGGCTCGATCTCCCAGTGTTGCTGAATGCCTGACACCAAACAACGTTCTGCGGGTGTGGAGCAGCCCGAGTGCACTGAGGGCACCAACAACAGGAATGAACCCTGGATTCGAAGGACCGCTGTTTCTTACTGCACTGTCAAGCTCGTCTCTCCAGCTATGACAGATAACCCCAAAAATCAGCCTGTGGGGTTGGTGTCCCACTTTATCTACCTGGGAACGGGGTGGGGGGAGAGAGAGGACATGAAAATGCAAACTTTGAAAAGGCCCCACTTCTCAGATCCAGCTTGAGCTCGGGCAAGTATGTATGGCCAGATTGGCTGCATTAAATAACATCTCTGATACAGTCCCTTCAGCACACTACGAGAGGACGTCTCCCCTCCCCGGCCCCACTGACTCCACCATCTCTAGGCAAACTGTCCTGTCCTTCTGTCACTGGAATGGATGGTGGCGTGTGCCAGGTGTCCCAGGAGGCACTTCATTCTCCGAGGAGGTGGAGAACCAATCTCCTTCTGCTGAGACCTCTGCTCCAAGCTTCTCTGGGGAGAACAGTGAATCGGCCTCGACACGGGAAGCAGCTATGGGATCTGCTAAGCCGATTCCCACCGTGGAAACGCTCTACCTCTGGCTGCTCTTCCCCATGGCACAGAGATCTGAAGGTAATTAAGAAAAGAGCTTTCCTTTCAAACTCAAAAGAGTTTATGATTTGTTCTCGGGGTTTTTTAAAGTCAGAGAGAGAAAAACATAAGGGGGAAAAAAATTAGAAAGGACAGTAAATCAAACCCCAATTTCCCGAACGTAAAACAGTCCCCTGGTGATGGAAGCCGGGAGGTCAAGGCCAGAGTGACACCAGGACAGGAATGACTGGCCCCAAAAGTGTCCTGCAGGATCCTCAACAGTGTCCTCCGCGCTCCGAGGCCGATGTGCTATTTCCAGTAAGTTAATTTTTTTCTATTAAGGAGAAAACAAAACAAACATAAAAACCACTCCAGAGAAAGGGTCAAGGGTAGAACACGGTAGAAAGTCAAGCCGCTGACCGCCGGCGGATCACAAAGAGTCCGCGCTGGAGCTGGCCCAGGTAGATCCTCATCTTGGTGCTATCGCTGGTCTTCCTCACCCAGATCTGAGGGAGAACAAAGAGGAGCACGGTGAGAGGTGGGGCTGCGGACGTGCAGGACCCCGTCTCCCGGAGCACCCCATCACCCACACGAGGTTGTGGTAGGCACAAATGTGTCCCTCAAGTCAATGACCCTTCTCAAGGGTGAGCTCTCTGCCAAGAACCTCCACCACCTGTGGCCTCCTGGACATCACAGGCCTCTCTCTTCTACCTGAGGTGACCTGGGACACAGAAACGCTGAAGCTCTGCCCTGGTGGGGCTTCGTGCTTGCTTTGATCTTAAGATCTCTTTGTCCTGTCCTTGCATTCAAGATGCATATCCACATGAACATAAACCTCCAATCAATGTGAGAACTACCACTCTCGTCAAGAAAGACTGCCAGCTTTCCAAGGCTCTAGAGAAGTACAGCGAGTGGTTGCTGTTGTTAGGTGCCACTGAGTCCACTTATAGTGACATATGAAAACAGCTGTGAACCCTGCCCTGTCCAGGGCCAGCCTCATCTCTGAAATACTTGAGGCCAGGAAAAGGGGGGGGGGGTAAAAAACAGACACCTACACTACAGTAAATATCAGGACCATGAAGGTTGAGTGATGGAAGGCCTTTCCTCCTTCCTGCACCATTCTCTCAGTGAGAGTCAACTGTGGCAGCAGGGTTGAGACTAAGTGGCATCCCTGTAGGAAGGGTGGACGTGTTCTGTTCCATGCCTGGCCGCATGTCAGTGAGCAATGATCAAGCTCTTTCTGGGCGCCAGTCACAAAGCGCTGCCCACATTCAGCTTTTCCAAGCTCAGAACTCCTGATGCCCATTTCATAGATAAAGAAAGAAAAGCTCGGCAGAGGTGAAGCACTCATCCCGATGTGAAGCCTGGTGGGAGCCTCTTCCCCCAGTCCCCGCCTCTCCACCCTTCTCTCCGTACCGTGTAATTAAATGGAGCCCCCACACGTTGCTTCTCTGAAGGTGTGAATCTCACCCGTACAGACAAGTACAATTTTACAAGGGGATCTGCTCCCTCCTTTGCTTAGTTTTCAGGTTCTAAAAAGGCTCCTGCTCAATTTCTTGAGCATGATTATTTAGTGACAGACTTTCAAGTCAAATGTGCTGCTTTAAAAAATGTGGAAGGGAAAAAAAAAAGAATGTGGAATGTAAAGACCTCTGAGGGCCATGGCAGAACCATTTTAAACCAAGTGTGAGGGCAGGAGGAGTCACCACGGCCACTCCTGCTCTCACACATCGGCCTAGTGAAGCCGTCCGCAGCCCAGCTAGGCAGAGGTCCGCTCAACCCCGTGCCATTTAGGAGTGACCTGAAATACGAGCTGTGACGCTCCGGGTAGACACGAGACCTGCTCGCCAGTGCCAGCCACACACATTTCCCGCACACTGAGGTGTCCCCCCTCCAAAAGACGTGTCCTTGTCAGATGACTGTTTCCCTGTCAGACCACTGTGACACTGTTATGTCAGAAAGTGACACCCTTCAACAGAGCGGGGGAGGCCACATGTGCAGGGGTCCGGGCATCCACACTCCATCTTGTGAGGTCACCGTGCCTCCTGGCTGAGGACCAAAGGTCTACCATATCCCCGGGGCTGGCTGTCACCGGCTGGAAGTGACTCACGTAGCTCCTAGGCCCCGGAGAGAATGACATTTATCTTTCTGGAGGGCTCACCCTAACTTTTGAATAAACAAGCATTTTGCAAACTGGTCACCTCTGTGGGCATCCGCAATTCTGGAAGCTGGGCGAATAGGAGCAGCTTAAGTTATTTCATAATTGAATTGCATTAAATTGACTATGCGCTGGCATGAGTAAGTTACAGAGAGCAGACAAGGAAAAATCAATTTCTTGGCAGACATTTGTGGACTGATAAAAAGATGGAGCCAATATTCAAGTTTAAAACTTGCTGTAACTGCTAATACAAAGCACATGCTGCTGACGTCTGCTGGTGAAGGGCAGTCAGAGAACCCGGAGGGAGGCCACATCACGAGCACGGTCCTCGGCCTCAGCTCACAGAGAATTAAAGAGCAAATTGTCTCTTATGGAGTGAGCTTCTCTTGTGGAAGCACTGAGTCCAGTACCCATGGGCATGAGCTTGTGCGTTTGGTGTTCCTCTGACAACAAACAGGACATGCTAAACAGCCAAGAACAAACACGGAGCAGAGGTTGGGCCGGGTTAGGCAGGCCAGCGATGTAGGCCAGCGCCCACTCACTGAGCCCTTACTTGGGGTCGCCAGGTCATCAACACAGGAGGACAAACCAGCCCTTAGTTTTGGTCTTTTGTTCAACAAAACCTCAGCAAGCACTTATGCGTCCACTGACTCTGCTGGGTGCTGGCGACAGATAGTAAACAAGGCCACCAGGTTCCTGCTGCCACAGCTTCAAATACAGAGGGGGATAAAGTGCAAGAAATAATCCCATACTGGCAAGTGCTAATAAGGCCAACTTCAGAGCGTTTTCACAGACCCTGAAGGGCACCTCATTTGGCCCAGACAGCCCCAAAGCATCACGGAGTGTTGTGGACAAGACAGATGTTGGGCCAGACACCGTCACACGCCTCATTTAGTCCTCACAGCCAGAAATAGGCCAATTAGTGCATATGAAGGTTCTAGAAAAGCAGTAAGCTGAAGATGGGGTGTGTGTGCCACGGATAAGCTCCATTCTCAGGCTAGTGACCTTGAACAGCAGCAGGGTTTTAAGGCAAACACTTCACAGAGACTCTCCCCACGTCTTTCCTGAGTTTACCTCAGTGGCGCTCAAGCCAGTTACAACAGTTTCCCAAACGCAGCAAGGAATACCCACACCCACGTACAATGGAGTCATGGGAACTGCGTAAGGGTGATTCTGACTGTGTGCAATTTCTGCCTGAACGTGCTGACCTCGCAACACAGACATGCTTGGCCTTTTTTGGCATCTTATGCAAGGCTGTCCTTTCAAATGCTTCAGAGCCCATGTTTTGCTTTCCCAGAGGACGACAGAAGGCGTCCTTACCTCATTGGCTCCGACGGAGCTAATGACACAGCTCAGTTTCTGGTTGTCCTTTGACTCCAGGTAGATGGCTTGGCTCTTGTGGTACCTGCCAAAAAAACAAGGACAAAATAACCATAAACAAAACCCAAGAGAGCCCAGGACAGTCAGGAATGGGTTTGTGAATGGTATGGACAAGTCACAGGTGTCCCTTCCAGCTTCAACAAAATTCACGGACAAGGGTGCAGAAAACAAGAGAAAGCCGGGGCCAGAAGCCAAATGGGGCAGGGACAGATGCTACAGGATATAGGAGCAGCTGCTGGGTTACCAGCGTTGGAAATACCAGCCGAGCTCCCGCTGGCAGCACTGACCTGGGTCAGTCACAGTTAGTTAAGACACAACCTTTGGTTCCCTGGATCACATGGAGCACTGGATCATTCCAGCAATCCAGATCCACTAACTTATGCAAATTCCACCCAAACTCATCTTCCAGCAAACTAGCGCATCCAAGTATTATTTCTCTGGGGAAGGAAGGCAGCAGCTCTGTTTTGCTGGTATAATGAAATAAGCTACAGCCAAGAAAACACAGCTGAAGGGTGTGTGTCAGCCCTACAATGAATGAGCTTTTCCAATCTAGGTTCTGTGTCCTCTTTAATCTACTGCTCCGGAGCTGAACACAGTTTTCCAAGTCCATTTCCTTCATGAAAACGCCAGTAAGAGAAATCATTTTATATGTGCAATTAGAACAGCGAGACTGGTTTTTGACTGAAGCTTTAAAAATGCTCTAGGCCATAGCTTAGCTGGTAAAATGGGTCAGGGAGCATTCATCATGCTAACTATGGCATATCACAAGGTCTGGATTATGGGATGCAAAAGGAAAAGCTCAATTAGTTCACAGTCAGACTCCAACCCCGACACTTCTCTGTCTGCCCACTCACACCCAATCCAACCACCCTGAGTCACGTCCCAAGTGAAGTGTGGAATAAAAGCAGCACAGAGAGGGGATTTCGACAAGACAGCAGCCCGGGCTTCTCCAGTGAGGACACCAGAGAACAACGCGAACAGACACAGATGATCATTCTGGAACTCCAAGTCTCAAGGAGTAGTTTGAATGCCCAGTGAAGGAAGAAATTGAAAGAAAACATTGACTAGAGAGACAAACGGTGCGGAGAATTGAGAACGAACTTGACACAGTGCAGCCATTTGCAACTTTTTTTGCCTCTCCTCCTCTTGAGCTTTTTTGCAAGTAGCTTTCTGGAGGGGCAGGAACCCGAGACTGCAAAGACACAGATACGAGCGCCTGGCCAGCACAGTGTGGTGCAGGATCTCCCCCTTACTCCCCTAACGGTACTGGGGGATCATCACTGTGTCCATCCTCCAGGGGCCCCTTGACCACTCCAACCCAAGCTGGCTCGCACTATAGTGAACATGGCTACTGCTCACTGGGACATTGTGAAAATTAAATACTTACGCACATCTAAAGATGTCTCTGAAATTATACAAAGAGAGCTAACAGGTTTGGCAAAGAATATCTGACAAAATCATATCTGACAGGGAACTAATATCTAAAATTTATAGGCAACTCCAGTAGCACAACCACCAAAACAAACAATCCAATTAAAAAATGGCCAGGGGGCATGAGAAGATGCTTCATCAAAGACGACGCTGAGCTGATCAACACGCACATGAAGAAACACTGATGATCATTTGCTATTAAGAGAGGAAACCAAGAGAACAATGAGAGGTTGTCTCACCTCAGCAGTAGTCAAGTTCAGTGTGACAGAAAACAAATGCCTGCAAAGGTGTGGAGAGCCTGGAATTCTGGTGGTGCAGTCTGCAGAGAACTGAACTGCCAAACCAAAGGCTGCACCTCTGTCAGTTCTAGCCTCCCGGAAGCTGTGCGAGAGCAAGCAGAGTATGTACAGCCTCTGAAACCCTTGTGGGGGGTTGTCAATTCTGAGGCCAACTCGACAGCAATGCGTGAGCTGCCATATAAAAATGAGCAGTCACTGTGAGGCTGCCTTAGGAAGCTGGAAAAAGAAATACCAGTGGATCCAGCAATTCCACTACAAGAGAGATAAACCCTAAAGGGATAAGAGCAGCAACAAGAACACGTACACCCACGTTCACTGCAGCATTACCGACAACAGCAAAGAGATGTAAACAACCCAGGAGACCACCAACAGACTAATGGATAATCAAACCATGCTGCATGCACACAATGAAATACGAAGGATTTGTGAAATACCACATACATCTAGGGGACATTAGGCTGAGTCAAGTCAGTCAGTCCCAAAAGACAAATATTGTTGAGTCCAGTATTATAAAAGAAAGAAAGGTTTTTCTAAAGAAAGGTTTGTACACAGAAAGAAACCTTCTTGGACAGGCACCAGGGATAGGAAGGGAGGGAGAGGGGAACAAAAATCAGAAAACGGACAAGTGATGAAGAGAAAGGCAATACACAACAGGGGTGCAAGCAGTCCTAAACGCCACGAAAGAGATGCAAGCCACAGAGAGGTGTACAAGAAATAGTCAACAAAGGTAAACATGGCCACAGACACAACCCTGCAGTATCAGCAATAGTCAGGGGATGCAAGTGGATATACAGGCAGATGCCAAGAGTCACAGCAACAGCCGGGGGAAAGGGTTTTTATCCATGACATATGTAGGTTTGGCAAGTGAGCTTTCTACATTCATATTAGTATTTGCAGTAAGCATTATCTATGCATATAGCAGAGCCAACAGGAGGCAAAGCTAAATTTCCTAACCATGACTAAATACCCTAAAGGAATGAGGTGCTGGTCCTGGGGCCCTGAGACCACATACTCAGGGGGCTTCAACCACAACCGGCATACAGTGCACAAAGACAATGTTCTACATTCCACTTGAGTAACAAAATGGGCTCTTCAAAGAAGAGCCTTGCATCTCTTTCGTGGCGTTTAGAAGCCACCCAAGGTGCAACTATTGGTCTAACCCTGCTCAGGGCAAAGAAGAGTAAGGAAAGCAAAGACACACAGAAGCCATTAGTCCAGGGACGAGTGGACCCCATGAACCTCAACTTTCATGACTCTGAGACAAGAAACAGCTACAACTGCTGACTACTCTAAAAGGGACCTCAGTAGAAGGTTCTAGACAGTAGGTGAATGTGGAACAAAACAACAATGTAAAAATGGCCAAGCTTACCAGGTCCAACAGAGACTGGTAGTATCCCTGAGACAATGGGCTTTTATCAACCTTTGAGTACAGAACAAACTTATTTCCATGGCTCAACTTTCAGTCAAACAAGAACCAGGTCCATAAGATAAACAGTAACACCAGGGAGGTGCCCACTTCTCAGTATAAACAACCACATGAACACAGGAAGCAGGAAGGAATAGGACAGGAGTGGTGGACATGACACTCACGGGAATGAAGAGGGAAGAGTGCAGCTACATTGTGGGTACTGTTATAAAACAAAACTTGTATGAATGGCTGAATGGAAAAATGAACTGAATTTTCACTAAAATCCCAATAAAAAGAAATACAGAGGGTAAACAGTCACTCTCTGTTATTAAAGAAATAAAAACCCCAAACCAAAAATGCGACTAGCCTCAGGTCATTTAGACACTACTTTTCTTACTACTTTAATAAAAAAAAAAAACCAACCCGTGAGTGTGGCCTAGAAGTATATTACCAGTGTGAACACAGGCATATTGCTCTGTGTGTATGACTAATGTGAACGCAGTATACTTCTCAGTGCAAAATATTAACTATGCCCATTGTGTGCAGTCAAGATTGGTGGAAGATCTATCAACAATCTGCATTATGCAGATGACACAACCCTGCTTGCTGAAACTGAGGAGGACCTGAAACACTTGCTGCAGAGGGTCCAGGACTGCAGCCTCCAATATGGGTTGAGGCTCAATGTCAAGAATACAAAGATTCTCATCACTGGACCAATTGGCAGCATCAGGATGGATGGTGAAGAGATTGAGATTGTTCACAGCTTTAGTTTGTTTGGCTCCACAGTCAACACTCTTGGCACCAGTAGCCAGGAAATTAAAAGGCACATTGCCATGGGAAAGTCTGCTGTTAGAGACCTCTACAAAGTACTGAAGAGCAATGGTGTCTCTCTGGAGACTAAGGTGCGTCTGATACAGGCCATGGTCTTTGCGATCACTTGTTATGCATCAGAGTTGGACAATGACTAAGGAGGACAGAAGGTGAATTGATACCTTTGAGCTGTGGTGCTGGAGAAGAGTATTGAGGGTACCATGGACTGCTAGGAAAACAAACATTCATCCTGGAAAGGGTTAAACTAGGCAGGTCCTTAGAGGCAAGGATTCTGAGGCTCCGTCTAACATACTCTGGACACATCATAAGGAGGGACCGGTCTTTGGAGAGGGAAAAACAAAATTTTAAGTAGTAATTCTTTCTAGAATAATTGTCTTTTTATAATAAACGGGTATTTTTTTTAAAAAGGCAATAAAAGAGTTTCTTTAAACTCATGGTACTGAAATGGAAGCAGAACATAGGAAAAGAGGGTGAGGGGACCTGCATGACTCTACGAATGTAATCAGTGCCACTGAATTGTGCATGTGGAAACTATGAAATTACTGCAGAATTCTACAACAAAAATGCATTTTGTAAATATGTACTGGAAAATACCTAAGGAGCAAAGATGGGGGAGAAAGCAAGCTTAACGTCATTTGTCACAAAACTCAACAGTTAACTGTGGAAGACAAATGGGTTGAAAATCTCAGGATCTATTTTCTATTTTCCTTCAGATGTGCTTAAAATCCCACATCTGTCTGCTCTGGGATCACCTAATGGTGGTGGGCGTAAACGCTCAGCATGGACCCCACCCGTTCCTTGGAGGAGAACTGGCCTGCAAGCTCCCCAAGCAGCCGACTTTGGAATGTGTTGCCTGGCCCACTGCTGCTGATCCCAAGCCACAGTGACCCTCCAGAGAAGAACGGCTCTATAGCATTTACAAAACTGTGACCATTATGGAAGCGGGTTGTCATCATTTTCTGCCATGTAGCATCTTGTGGGTTCAAACCATTAACCTTGTAGGCAGCAGTCCAATGCTTTACCACTCTTAAAACAGTGTCTCTTTGATTTTTTAGG